AATAATTTTATGCTGGAAAATAAAAAAACACAGCAGAAACTCACATTTGTTCTGACTGACTCGCGTCGTTCAGTCTCAAATTTCGTTTCTTCTCTTTGATTACTGAGTTGATAAAGCTAATAATTTATTTGATAGTTGAAATGAAATTATATACCATTTTTGATTTGGCAACAATATTATAGGCAACCGGAGACGAGAAAATATAGAGGAACGTGAAATTGATTGTCGCGATTTGTGAGAGAGTTATATTATAAGAAAGATTGCAATACCTTATATATGCATGATACAAACAGGATATTTTATAGCCGATTGATAATCAATGCAATACATTTACATGGAAGAAACATGATATTTTTATAGCCGGTTGGACTGTAGAAAAGTCAGTTCTACTGTAGAAAAATCAATTATAATGTGAAGGTTCCCTCTTTTAAGAGAAGAAGGAGGGATTGAAGTCAATGCTCCTCACAATGCGGAGGTGATGGAGCATCAGCTCCACATTGTGCGCAGCATTGCTCTCCGCACAGTGCGGAGCATTGATTAGCACACCGTGCAGAGCATCAACTCCGCACAGTGCAGAGCAAACGAATAATTTTATTTTTTTTCCCGACATTCAAAGTCAACAATTGTAGGCATATAAATTGATTAAAAAATGATCTTTCCAAATTACCCTTAACCTACGTGTGAATAGTGGAAGACAAATATGAGACAATTGGTGTAAATAGTAAAGGATGGATATGTGACAATTTAGGCTAACAAAAATGCTTCAAAATGAACAATACTCGGCATGGTGGGGGCAATTTGGGCTAAGGGAAATGCTTCAAAATGAACAGTATTCGACGGATTCACTCTTTTAATATAGTAGGGATTTTCCTATCCTATGGCGCAACTTAGCATTTTGAAGGCCTCCTTGCTAGCATACGCCCTTGTGGCTCTCGCCGTCGTTGCTACCATTGTCTCTGCTCAGGCATCGACGCCTTCACCAGATAAAGTAGATGAGCTCTCTTTGCCATTTCTAGCGCCTTCATCGTGACCTCTCCTCTTCTCTGTTTTCGGACTCCGCCAAGTTGGATCTCGAGTTATTATTCCCTTTTTTATGCTTCTTTTCATGTATGTGGTTTCAGTGATGGATTTGTATTATAAAGTAGAATATATGTCGTGATGATTATTATGTGATTCATTGGGTTTTAATTCTTATGTTTAATTATTCATTTTTAATTTTGACATTCTTTACTTTTTTTAACGGCAAATTTGACGGATGTTGACGGTAGGGGATTTTTTGCACAAAATGGTTCAAACATGGGTTTTTTGCGATTTTCAATAGGTGGGGGTATATCGCAAATGAAAACGCTTTTAGGAAGGTTTTCTACTATTAATCTTTTTTTTCTATATTTGACATTACACAACCATTTAGAGGGACTACATAATTGAATTGGGTACGTTTCGCCTCTGCTTTTTAAATCTTGTATTGAGTTTAGAGAGAAATTAAATGAAAGGCTAAATCTTAGGAAAATTCTAAAAAAAGTCGGTTAGTGTTTGGATTCTAAATTTGGAATATAGTATTTATTAAAATATTTAACAAACTGCACAGTATTTTATGGATTATTAACATAGTATAGTAAAACTTTAAATTTTATTTTGTAATGATGTAAACCTATCTTTGACTCTAGACACGAACTCAATATAAGAAGAACCGAGTATGCCTCAAATGTAGCAACGTTATATTAAAGTTATAGCAAAGATTAAGAAACTAAATTATGAATTATCTCATATTCAATTCCTAAGAACTTTTCTTCACGTGACAAGTTATTTTTTTTATTTAGTAGAAAATGGTACTAAAATCAACATTGATTTTCTTCTAGTTTATTGTATTCGATCATATTATGGAACGCCTTTTTGTTTACTTTTGGATCTATTTATTGAGCATTTTGTATCGCATTGATTGATACAACTTTGAGAAGGCTTGGTAACGCTTGCAAATATTTCCTTTAAAAAAAACTTTATTTTACTATTTTAAAAATTATCAAAATATTTTTGTGACGAAAGACATTCTCTCCACGCAATATGATCTTCCTTATTTGGACTCTGCAATACAGAATTCCAAGGATACAAAAAGGTGAACTATGTCGACTTAGGGATGACAATGAGTCGAGTCAGCAATCGACATAGACATCAGAGATTGAATTGGCCCTATGAATGATTCGGGCTCAGTTCAACCCTCTGACCTATGAACCTTGTGGCCACAAATCGATTCCTTTTTTTTTTAAACAGTAGCCAAACAAGGACTAACTTGGACCTCCGAAATTAAAATAATCCTTAAAATAAACAAAGCATCGCACGTTGGAATAAGTTGTCAGACTCAAAGTCCCTGGTTTCCGTGCTCTTACAAAAAGGTCTTTCAGACTCTTCTGTTTTGACACTCTCTCTCATCTCTTTCTTCGCTCTCGGTTGGCACTGCCAGTCTCCAATCGGAAAGATCATGGTAAAGGCCTCTCTCTCTCTCTCTCATATATATATATATATACATACATACACATATTTGTCACGCACACACAAGCCATTTACGTCTCCATTGATGTTTTGGTAACTTGGGGGCGTCACTGTAGATTTTTCTATTCCGATAACTTTCCTTTTGCATGCGCTAATGAATCTGGGATTTTTTTAAAAAAAAGAAAAAATTAGTCTTTACTTGTTCACTTTGTACGAGAATCGATTCCGTAGATGTCTTCATTTCTTCCATGTCCATGTCCATAGAATATGATATATGAATTTGTATTAATTTGTTTGAATATAGATGACTGAGCGGTGATATTTCTGATGTACAGTTAAGATCCCTTCAGTTTCTTCTTCCTTTCTTTTAAGCCGCAATTTATGATACAGAGAATAAGGAATATAATTTTATTTTTACATTTCCATATATTCCATTTTTGGTTGATGCTCTTGTTTTTGCATTAAATGTGAAATTACTATCAAGAAATATAAGCTTGGACGCAACTGGAATTTCCTGGGGATGAAATGATAACAAAGATTAATAGCAGTTTCCTGGGGATCTGATTCTGAATATTTTATTTTATTTTTTAATTAATATTGCTAAGAGCATCTCCAATTCTCTATCGTCCCCATGTCAAGGGGCGATTTATACAAGTTTGTTTTCCAACTCCATTAAATCTTGATAGCAAGAAAGATTTGCAGACTACTTCGAAACGTCTGGCAGAGAAGAAAACAGCGAAATTTGAGAAGAACATCACAAGGAGAGGACTGGCTTCTCAATCATCTAAGAAAGAAGAATGGGAACCTGCACACATGGTTCTTGTCCTCTTTGCAGTTCTGATGGTATTGTCCTGTAAGTTTCTTTTTTTCTCTATATGCTTAAATGAATATTATTAATTGGGAGTACATACTATTCTTCGACCGAACAGTATAATTATTCAAGAGTAGGCAGACGTTATTTTTTGTTTATTTATTTTTTTTGCAGTTATTTATCAGGTTGTCAGGATGGCAATTAATGGCGGAATAAGCTGAGAAAAATGGAATTGTTTCAATGCTTGGAATTTATTTCTTGTTGTTGGCACTTTCCTATGGTTGTTTTGGGGATTTTAACAAATTATACAGATTATGAATTATGAACAGCACTGTTTCTAATGAATGCCCCTTCCGTTCATTTCTCCATTAGCTTACATTCTTTCCAGTTTAGAATTGGTTAGTTGGACACGACAATATTAACGAGGGAAAAATAATTACTTAAGCTCAGAAAAGGCACTTTAAATGGGCTAAAACGATTAGATGGACAATTTAGCCAGTACATCTCATATAACACAAGAAAACTGAATGTTCTGACCTTACAAAGGTTCAAAATTTTGTAACAAAGAGTAGGATGCTGGAACAAAGTAAAAATGCCCAAGAAAAATTTCGGATTTCCTTTGTATTAGATAAGTTAATGATTCATTGGCTTTCTGTAGTTGCATTTGCTCTCATCAGACCTCCGAGCTGCACGAATGGAACCACTTCCTGTCTTTGAGCATTGGCTACGGTCTGAACTTTTAGATAGCTTCCTTGTATATGTGTTAAATCCATTGCAATTTTGCATATTGGACTTATACACCTCATCCCGGGAATTATATGCCTCAAATTCCTACAAGGAGTACTCGTATAAGATATTGTAATATTATCCACTCATATAAACTATATAAGATTTCTGAGTTCAAAATCAAGAATTAGATAGTGAAGGAAATGCGAAGAGATTTGGTATATGCTTGAATACAGGTACCTTGGACTTTGTCTTGGCATAATTTGGAGTTAGACAGGGATTTAAATCTTTGAGAAACATGTCGTCTGGACTGCCCGGAGTTGTGTAATCTCCCGAGCTGAACTCATTACCAAACTGTTCAATATACAAAACTAAGATATCCTTGCAAATTTATGTTGAAGCAATATTGGTTGAATTTGTATTTATTTTAAGAAAATCTTAAAGAGAAGAATATGTGCATCATAAATATGAGACAGTTAATGCTTTGGCCCTGAGAAAAGTTCTCTTGGTTGTAAAAGAACAAATCATATAAATATTAGCAGAGAAAACATGCAAGGAGTGTCGTTCAAACATTTCTACAACATGATTTTCTGATATTTAAGCACAATGATATTGTTTTTTGCTTGAGTTAATAATAAACATGACTTGCAGAGTTCCCACATCCATTTAGGTTAATAATTCTTGAAACAAATAGGAACTAGATGATACTCTTCATCTATGATCTTAGCAGTAATTTACATAATGTGAGCAACCTTTCCAAATTAAGATCACCATTTGGATAGAATGTGTTTACCAGAGAATTTGCTTCTTCATCTTGATCGTATGACGGTGTCCTTGGAGAGTTAACACGATTGTCACAATATCCTCCCGATGAATATTTCTCAGCCTTCACCTACAGCAACAATTATGTATTATCGAGTTCACAAGCAAAGTAATCCTAAATCTGAAAGGGTATGAATGAATTCAAAACTTTATGGCGCAGAATGAAATTAGGATCACATGGTACCAAGTAACAACTAAAATTAGTTTTTAAAAAAAAATACTGCAGTAACTATACAGATATATTGCTGCAAGCTAAGATATTTTACAAATTTGACAAGGATATCTATGATTGAAACAGGCTCCAAGGGCCCGGTTTGAAAGGCTTAAAACATCTCTGCTGCAGCTGCATTTCACCAACTTCAAAGCTGATCCATCATTTTTTGTGAGAGATACAAAACATTCCATTCTGTACATTTTTGTTTATGACGATGACATAGTCATCACAGGGAGTGATAGCTCAGATGTACCAGAGTTTGCTGTTGTTGTTAAACAACCCATTTGCATTGAAGGATTTTCGAGAGCTCAGCTATTTTTTGAGAATAAAAGTTTAAAGGGTACAAATGGGGGGGATCGCGTCTTTCTCGGATCCAATATATTCAAGATCTTTTAAGGAAAGCACGGATGGCTGAAGCTAGGGCATATCCTCCACCAATAGAAGCACTCAATTGTTCAAACGGATAGGAGACCCTTTACCCAACCCCACATTATATAGAACCACAATGCACTTCGATATGCCACAATCAAAAGACAGAAAAACATGCAAAATTCACTTTATACATTTGAAAGTAGTCAAAAGAATTCTAAGGTATTTGAAAGGAACTCCAGATCACGGGTTATGTTAGACAGCTTCTACTCTTCAACTTCAAGATTTTTCAGCTGCAGTTTGGGGATGATAGAAAATTTACTTCAGCCTTTTGCATTTATTTTGTTGGCAACAACGTTATCTGGAGAGAAACAACAGATCATTTCGAAGCCTAATTCAAAAGCTTGGCTAATGCTACTGCTGATATGATGTCGGTACAACATCTGTTGAAAGAGTTTCATATGCAAATACCTATACCTACCGTATGGTGTGATAACTCGAGTACAGCTTGCCTTTCAGCTAATCTAATATTGCATTCAAAGGCAAAGCACATAGTTCTTTATTTTGTAAGAGAAAAAGTGGAAGCTAAGCAATTTGATGTTCAACATATAACATTCTCAGAACAGACTACTGACAACTTGACAAAAGGCCTTACCAGCAGATTTCCTTGAAAAAATTGAAGACCAAACTCAAAGTAGCTTCAATAGCTACTATTGATTCAAGTTAACAAGAATAGAATATACAGTTTCCCATTTTCTTTCTTTCCTTGTGTGTAAACTCCAACAAGCAGCTACTGGCGAAGCAAGTAAATATTTTGACAATTAAGAAAAAGCTTATTTTGTTTTTTCCACTGTGGATTTATGAGCAAACTTTGTCATCTTGTATCCTTATAAATATTGTTTCCCCAATTTGTTATAGGATAAAAGTCTTAGTTTTTGTCATGTAAATGTGCTTCAGAACCAAACAACAGTTTAGCACCAAACATGCAGAATCCTTAGAGCTTTATATACAGAAAGCAGTTGGCTACAAGTTATGTTATGAAGAAGAGAAGGCGATAGTTCAATGTAATTACTCCCTTATCAATTTTGAAGATGTGCTAATCCTACATTTTACTCTGATTTATGTACAATGCTTACCTCAGCTAGATCCTCAGCAAGAAATTGTAGTTGGCCGGTAAGAGAAGTGACTTGCCTCTGAAGACTCGGGATAAGTTGTTTTGCCTGCTGAAGTTCTGAACCCTGCTTCTCTAAAAACTCCTGAAGTTGTGAATTCATCACATCTGGGAAAAGTATGGCACTTTTAAGAGACTTTATTTCTTCCCTTTGCTTCAAGCACAAATCTTTCAGCTTCTCAACCTACAAGTTCTTTAATCGTCAAATGAAATCTAAACATGGGATATTCAGAAAATCCTGCCTCAACCAAATATCATGACCTAAGAGGGATCCCCTAGAAAGAGAAGATTAAACTGAAAAAAATCCAGATTTCAATTATCAATCAATCTCGCGCATAAGAAGTCCCAAATTTCAGTTGATACTCATATTTATCAATACGTCCCAAATCATCGTGATGCTAGATTCTTAATTTTTCTCAAGAACTTCACATTTCACACAAACAGCACTTCTATTTAATAATTTAGTACAAGATTTTTATTTTTTCTCAACATCATGCTATTAACTCCCCAATTGTTCCAAAGCTTTCATTTTTTCACACTTTACCCCTATCTTCTGCAATCTTCAAATTTCAGTAAATTTCACACTTTACCCCTATCTTCCGCAATCTTCAAATTTTTCTCAATAATAAGAATCTTGATTCTATGGCATCTTAGAGAATTTAGAAGAACCCCATCAAATTTCAATTATAAAACCATATTCTTCTGTACAGAAAACTACTATATATAAACACACATATTACCTCGCCATTTTTCTCTTCAATTAGCAACTTAAGCTCAGCTATCTGCTGCTCCTGCTCCTTGTTTGCACTCAACAGCTCCCTCTCACTCCTCAACACCATAGCCAAAGTCCTGGTATTCCCTTTTACCTCAGTCAACGCCTTCTTCGAGCTTTCATCTTCTTTTTTTGCCCCTGATGAACCCTTGAATAGCTTCTTGTGCAGCCCACTTAATCCGGTAGCCTTCTTGGCGCTGTTCTTTTTCAAATCCTCGGCTAAAAAATTAGCAGCCACAATGAATTTTGGGTCTTTACTGGAATTCTTTGCCTTCTTGTTTTCCATAAATTTCTTGACCATGAAGTTCAGATTAATGCTGTCGGCGGCAGTGATGTTTTTATTGGTGGTAGCTTTCGTGACGGTGCGTGAGGTGGTGCGTGATGTTGGGAACTCGGTGGATGAAGAAGGGTCAGATTTTGTGGAACTGTTAAGGCTTTTAGCATAGCGAGTTGAGGGTTTGATTGCAGCCATTGTTCTTTTTTGGGAATGTGAGGAGGAAGGAATTTACTTCCCCTTTTTTATGTTAATCTTTTGGAATGATTCAAATGACTCGCAATTTTAGGATAGCGGGAGAATTTGCCTTTAATGATAACATTGTACGCTATTATTGACTTGCCGCTGTCTGAATTCAAATATTTCAGGGGATTTCATGGTGGACTCCCTGTCGTTTGACGGAGTGTAGTTTTTGTTCCCTAACCTTTAAATGTAAGGTTTTGAGTAATTATATGAACGGAAACATCGCTTGTACAATTTCGGTTGACAACCTCTCACAGTGGTGGGTCCCATTGTGTTTAAAAAAGATAAAAAAATTACCCACCCACCCATCTCATGTGTGAGTGGTTGTCAATCGAGATTGTACAAATAGCACAACCCTTATATGAATTTGAAGTGTTAAGTTATATGAAAGTTAAGTCCCTGTTTGAGGTAGATTTTATTCTCAAAATGTATAAAAAATCTGAACGTTGGGACAGTATTGACTGACATCACAGTACAATGATCACTGTGCAAATAGTGCAACAACAGAATGTATGGCCAATATACCCTTTACCCAAACTAAGTGCATTCACTTTTCCCCCACATGGAAGGGCAAAACCGGAATTGCAGAAACATATAGCGTTGAAATCATTGCAAAGTTACTGTAACGAATGTGCTTAATTTGACCAAAAAATGCATTTTTTTTTTTTTTGTGAAAATAGCAAACAAACGGAGGCAAAGTACAATTTTAATATTCACATTGAAATTTTTGTCATGTGAAATTTACAGATTTAAATATATCTATAATCTCACTTTTAAAAGTTACCTATAAGTGCACTAGTCGAAAGCTTACATAGCCAAACTCTAATTTTTCATTTATCATGATTAAAAAGCGCTTGAATGTGTGATAATTGAAAGATAGAAAAGTGTCGACCACTTTTTCTTTGGTAATGACCGTGAGAATGTGTCACATTTATCCGATCATCCTACTAGAGACTTATTACCAATTAAATTGTGGACAATTAATGCTATATATCATTATTCATATGCATCACTAATTAGGTGGCAATGAGCCCCTTATTTATTGTATAATGAAGTGAATATTATTTGTACAATGTTTTCATACAACATTGTTGACAATGTTGGTTTGTGACAAGAAAAGTGTTGGTTAAAAAGATGAATTGTTTTTTCAACTGTCAAATGATAACATGTCACGTGATATATTGTCAACAATGTTGTCAAAATCATTGTACATCAAGCTGATTCATAATGAAATTGGAATAATGTTGAATATAAAGAACTGTTCATGCTAGAAGTTTTACAGAAGGGTCACGTGAATGTGGGTCCCACCTGATTTAAATATTATTAAAAAAAGCGGGCCCCACATGTTTGTGTCTTCCCTTTATTTTTTCGTTTTTGTACCGTAGCATCTCTCATGAAATTGTGTGGTACTTAAATTTATAACATAATGAAGCAAATGACTCATTGCCACCTAATCGACGATACATCTCTCTATAATTAAATTGGTCAAACATACTTTTAAGGTGATATGGCCCACACAAAACTAATCTAAGTCTTTGTTTGAACCACATTAAAATTTTCATTCTTATTCTTCTACTCATTTTCAATTGCACATTTTTCAATAAAATAATATTTTTTATCACATCAATAATTTTTCCTTCTTTTCACATACATTCTCCATCAATCTACTAATCCAAAATACATTCTTCCAAAATAATACTTATCAAACACACCATAAATATCCTACATACTGTGTATTATGAAACTTAGGGTGTGTTTGATAACACTAAATACATTCTTCTAAAATAGTGTGGCTCAAATACTCCCTAAACTAGCATTGAATGCTTGCTTTGGTACCATAGTAATCTCCTCATAATTGATTGGCAAAATCAAATATTAATTTTAACAAAACCACATTTATTATCCGCACAATTTCGTGGGACTAATCACTCTTCTTCGTTATAATCACGTTATAATTTCTCCCAAACAAATACTTAGAGCTTGTTTGGGAGGGATTTTTGGGGGAAGAATTGATTTTGAATAGTGATATGAAGGGAAATGTGTGGTTGAAAAAGAAGAAAAAATTATGGATGTGATATAAAATATTATTTTATTGAATAATGTGTGGTTGAAAATGAGAATTGATTTACTATAGAAAAATCTAAATCCCCCCCCCCCCAACCCCCCCAAACAGGGCCTTAGTATTCTAATGTCTATGGTAAAAAATAAATGAATGATACTATTAACTTTAATTTAATTTTGGTTCTATTTTTATCGGGAAAAATTCATGGATCTGGTTTTAAGTTTCACCAATGCAAAAATCAGGTTTCAAGTTTAAAAGTTGCAAAAATCAGGTTTTTAAATTTTTTTTAAATAAGGTCACAATTATATGCATTTTGGTAACATATATCTTATTAATTATTTAAAAATTAATTTTCGACCACAACTTATCAAATTAATTGGTTACAAATTATTTCGAGGTCACAATTGACTTCATTGATCACTGATCAAAAAATTTATAGGTCATAAATTTTTAATTGGTCACAAGTTAAAAAAAAATTATAGATAACAGATATCACATTTCCAAATTTGTTGGTCACGGATTATATTTTTAGCCACAGATTATCGAATTTTGAAGTCACAGTTTAATAGTTAGCTTCAGAGAACCGTATAGTTGGTCACATACACCCAAACACTCGTCTCCCAATCCCAATCCATCACCAATACTTGGTCACAGACACTCTTCGTCGTATCTCTGCCGCCGCCGCCACCACAACCATCCCCCAACAATAACACAAACAACAACCACCACAGATCAGGCTAAACCACCAACAATAGATCTGCCAACACACAGCCACACACCAACAATAGCCACTCACACAGATCCGCCCCACACCCATAGATCTGTCGCCTCTCCGATTTCCTCAACTCCGATCTGCCACACACCCACGGCAGCGTCATCACGCTGAACTGCAACAGCTTCGCGACGCTACAGAGAGAGACGAGGGAGAGAAGGGGAAGGAGGGACAAGAGAGGAGGAGGAAAGTAAGGGGAAGGAGGGATGCGCCGCCGTGAGGAAAAGAATAGGGATGGGGAGGGAGGCGCGAGAGAGAGGGGAATGGAGAATAGAGATAAATTAGGTTATCAATTAGGGTTTTAACATAATACCTGATTTTTGAATAAATAAACTTTAGACCTGAATTTTAAAAATCAATCTTTAAACACCTGATTTTATATAATTACCTCACTTTTTTCCTTTTTATTCGGTCCAATGTAATGCACTGTGCTACCAAAATGCCTTGAGCACAACGTCAAGATACATATAGTTCATTAAAAATAGGGAAAATTGCGGCCGCGGTCCCAAACCTTTCATTTTGTTGCAGATTACACCCAAACCTTTAATTTTTGCAGTTGAAGTCCCAAACCTTTATATGTAATAGCAGCGTCGGTCCCAAACCTTTACTTGTTGCGGTAGAAGTCCCAAATATTTGTACATAATTGCAGCGTCGGTCCCAAACCTTTGTATGTAATTGCAGCGTCGGTCCCAAGCCGTGAATTCCGTCCGTAAAACCGTTAGTCAACGTTGAAACAGTAATTTTGACTCGAAAAAATTATAGCACCGGTCCCAAACCTTTCATTTTGTTGCAGATTACACCCAAACCTTTCATTTTTGCGGCCGAAGTCCCAAACCTTTATATGTAAT